TATTGGAAGGTGCTCGACATCGACGAAGATGAAACGCTGGAAACGGAGGGTCACAAGGGTTCAAGGAGAACATATCTGTTGCTTGTGCCGAGAGAGAAGAACAGAATCTGAGGAAAGAATCCAAGGATAAGGAGGGTCTAGAAGTGTACGGAATGTTGAAGGAAGGAATAGGGTTCAAGGACTACCTACATGGACCAATGGATGCAGGAACAAAGCTTAAGGTCAAATTCAGGACCGGGGACATAGGCCTTCGAGAACGTCGACGAAGACATAGGACGGTAGACGACGAAGACGACGAGTTCAAATGTGATTGCGGCTTCGAATGCGAAGACCGTGTTCATGTAGTCGCGGAATGTCCGTGGTACAAGAAGGAGAGGGAAGTGTACGTGGCTGAGCTGGGAAAAATAGATGGGACGTACAGGGAGATGTTTGAGGCATGGAACGGAGAGGAAAGGACGGTAGCTGTACTGGGGCGTAGGAGGTGGATTGAAAAGGCGGGAAGGGATATCGTTAGGATAGACAGAGTAGGGAAGACGTTTTTGAGCCACCTTTGGCAAAGTAGAAAGGGACGATTGGCCATCGGTGATCGGTCCTATGGGAACAATGCTCCGTCCTCTCGAGGACGCGTGGTCAATGGTCTAACCGCTAAGGCACGCAAAACATATGAGTACGCCCCCACCCCCCTTCCCCCTCCGCCGTGCGAGATAGGTCCGGCACACTACAATAATTGAGCTCAATGGCCAATGAAGGAGGGTGAGCAAAAACGAAAGAGTGAAGAACGGAACGGGAAATCCCAATACAACGACGAAGGTATGGGAGCAGCAGACTCAAACTCGAAACTGGATCGGTTTGCGATTCGGACTTGTTACGCGAGCTACCACGGAACACTTTCGCAATCTCGCGGATTTGTATACCGACAAAGATTTCGTGCGTCTCGCGCCAAATAAATAAATGAGCAACTCCAAAGCAAAGGACACTGATGTGTGTGTTTGAAAAGGTAGAGAGAGAGAAAGAGGGAATCGGAGTTCTAGGCAAGTTGTTCGGCTTGAGAGGACGACAAAGAGGGCGAGGAAAACGTGTTCTTGCCATTCTACCAAAAAACACAAGCACGGCAGTCGTGCATAGAATACGAACCTTAGTCGGCGCCCCCGGACCGCGCTAAGCCCTCGTGGAAGCTGATGATCTGGAACCAGCCGCCTTTTATCACTTCCCACGGAGGATTGGTCCATCCGTTTTCGTGCAGCTGGATATCCGTAAGCCAAGGCTTTGCGTTGAACTTTTCTGCCGTCGCTCTGGGTACATCTGCACAATCGATCGTCCACACAGCGCTACTTAGCGACTATCGCGGTTCGATTATCGCGAATCGCGACTGGAATAACGAAAAGGAACTGACGCCTATTTGTATGATGCATTCACCAAGCCAATGCAGGAGAGGTATAACAAAAACCGCCTCCCTGCGCATCCCACTGTCGTTCTGACACCTAGACAAAGGGACGTGGCGCATATTTCTGCCTCGAGCCCGTTATCGAAATCACACCAACAAGAACTTGTTGAAGATTGGCACTAGAATCACAGCAAGCCCAACGTCCTCACGATCATGCCTCAGTTTTGCCGCAGCTGGGCAAACACAACGCAAACGCGTTCACCAGTACGCAGCAAAGACAAGGCCGATACGCATGCCGCGGCGTGTTCGAGCACGGCGTCCGGGATGATTAAATACCCCAAGGTTAAGGGTGAAATTGTGCCCTTCGTGACCAACTGCTATGTGTGGAACAAAAAAACACGAGGTTTGTGTAGCTTCATACATGTGTACAGTCATCAACATTAATGGTATTGTCCTTTCACCCACGCAATAGACGATGCGGTGTTTGCTCGGCGGTGCATTCCACGGAAAGATCTCGGTGTTCAGTCTTGTATTTCGTATCGTAACCATTGGCAGAAGCCGCTCCCGCGTTGGACGAACGTACAGCGCTATGCGAAACAGGGACAAAATCAAAAGACGGTCCAGGAGTGTTGACACGAAACCCATAGAAATACACCGTGTGGACGTGTTGGCCACACTCTTTCCTTTTCGGCGATACATTTTGTTGCGCATGAAACCACACAACTCTCTCGAATTTGCATCACCAGGAAGCATGCGTCTGGTCTCAACCATTATGAACGAAAACAGGCACTCGTTGTAAAATAAGCCCAGGAGCGTAGGAACGCAACACGGTTACCTCGGCCTCCGAAGTGTGCAACACAACTCAACCGCCGCACTCCATCTTGGGCATGCAGCCTGGCTGTGTTGTGTGTATGACTGAATCGGTCTCCTACAAAAGTTTGGTGTGCTACTCTGTTTTGTCGATACCCACGCACAATATTATCCTCCTCGTAACGTTCGTTCCGAAGCCCCCGCTAGGGACACCGTGTAGGGATGGCGGTGGGCACCACAACGTTAGGGCCGTTCTGGATACAGCTGTTTTGCTTCCAACACTCAACTTTCCAAAGTCAAACTTCGTGGATTTCTAAATACTTTCAAAATGTTGGCCAAATTTGTTCGGTACCAGTAGTTTCCAAAGTTCCAAGTTTCCAAAAATCATCAAAAACAGTAAGGATGGTATCCAAGTGTTGCTCAGCCTCTTGGATGTTGACAAAACGTGGGCGCACGGTTAATACCCTTGTACATAGGAAGGGTGCACAACACCTGGTCTTTTAACAAGCTTCGTCCAAAGAGCCAAGTGGCAAAAGATATGTCTTTGCGCCATGTGCCGACCCCATTCCTCCCAAACATTATCCGGTCAGCGCCAAACCGCTGGTTTATGTCTGCTGACTCACCGGTGAGCTGGTTTTCGTGCAGATGAAGCACCTTCAGTGCCCGGGGGTTCGCTAGCTCTGGTGGGAGAGAACCTACGATGTGGCCATGGCGAAAACAATGCCAAACGACGATGAAAAAAAGGTGAACTGAGTCCCACAGAAGGCAATGTAAAGCACGTTCGACCAACACGCGGTAGTTTCATTGAACCATAGTCGCTGCTGTTGCTTGTCCTTGTCGAGGACGCACTACGTTCTGGCCTGAGAGATAACAATCTGTGGGGGGACCACGCGACCGATGAGTTTAGGCCCGCTGAGAGACAAGCAACAAGCCAGCCTCGTTCCACATTTCCTGGATGATACCTGCAAGGGGAACACGTCTGTTCATCCCTCCGTCGACATATTGCTCTTCGGTTCTTCTTGAAGAGGAACACTACTGGAACGCCATGACTTTGCTCTGCGACAATCGACGAAGTCAAATCCCATCTGTCTTAGGGACGACACACACTGCACACAGACATGCATAAGCGCAATCATTCTACCTCCCCTCACCGGTAAGCTCGTTCCTGCTCATCCAAACGCGCTCAAGCTTGGTCATATCTCCGAGTTGCTTGGGGATGGTTTCTGGACATACATAATCGGGGCAACAGCACAAGACAAAAATATGAACATATCCAAAACGACATAAGTAATGGCAGAGACAAGAGGTCTCAAAAACAAAAGTAGCGCATTCCCCGTCCACGCGTTGGAAGGTCAGCATTGACGGAGATCGACAGCAACCCGAGAAAAAGTGTGCATCCGACCATCACCTGTAAGCTTGTTGTTGTTGAGGCCAAGCTCCTTCAACTCGCCGAGAGCTCCCAGAGTTTCGGGGATAGGACCTGCACGATCACCATACCGGCAAGCACAATACACGAAGAGAACGGGATGTGGCTGATCTGCTAGAACATTCATCGCCTGCACGTTGGCGAGTCTCGAGTCGTGCAAGTCAGGAGAGGTGTACACGCCAAATTGAATGACACCAAACGTCAAAACAAGATCATGTTGCCCACCGTCAAGCTGGTTGTCTCCGAGATGAAGCATCTGCAGATGGCTGAGATCCCCTAGCTCCTTGGGGATGAAGCCTGCAAGAAAGTAAAGCCGAGGGAGAGTTTGCACCGTGTTTGGGGTTCAACAAAAGCTCTAGGCGCTTGTGGGCGCTTCTCCCTACGGTGCGAAGTAGTCACGTAAAGCACGAGGTTCAGCTTGTTTGGAACTCATGCTCGGCGTCGGGCGCTACTAACGATCCACGTACTTGAGCCTGTAAAGCTATGGACCGCCTCCTTTCACGGAGTTGAGTTGGCATCCCCGCGCCGAATTATCCAGCATCATTTATTGAGGTGCAGTCGTGTCGTTTGGGTTGTGCCGAGTGAAACGAGGAAACGACGACAAAAAATAAAACAACAAAAACAAAGCAGTGCGTCATACAGCATCATGCGTGAGAATCTTCGCGCTATCCCGTGCGAAATGGTGGGAAATCGTTGACCTGTACTCCGGAGTATGCCATTGCAAGCTACACTAGTCCCGACAAAGCGAGTCCGCCTCGCCTCGCCTCGCCTCGTCGTGCACCCCGTACGAAAATATCGCCGTATCCCCGCTTCTCCCAAGTCGGTCTGTCTACTCAACAATCGATCGCATAGAGCTAGAAAGGTGACAGCATGACTTATCAGATGGTATTCAGTATCACGCGGTGCCCTGACTTGGTGCGGGCGGGGGGCTAACCCCAACCCTACAAGTACAACAAACCGAAAAACTTGGTGCCGTTTCCGCACTGCAGTCGCTGGCTGCTCATGGGAAATGTCATTTCACGACGCTCCGCGAAAAACAAGCAGGCAGCTGCAAATCGACTTCTGGTTCCAAATACATTCATAACCGTGATGGTATGGTGCGAACTCAGCGATCTTTGGAGGTACACTGCTATTCACGGTCTCGGCATTGCAAAAACATTTCTGCCCTCGCAAGACAGGGACTGTTTTAGTGGATAAATTCTGCACTTGCAGAAAAAAAGGTTCCGCCCGCACGGAGTGGAGCAGACGTTCAAGCAGCCATATTGATGTCGGTGGAGTAAAAAAATCACTCATATTAATAGTGCACTCTTGCCTGTCAGTCTGTTAAGACTAAGCGCTAGCTTCTCCAGCTTGGCGAGGGCGCCCAACTTCGTCGGAATGGAACCTGCACAAGACGATAACAACAATTACGATTGGACCTGAAACATTTCGCCGTCGTTTGAACGCGTGCTGCTCCTAGACGTGGGTACAGTAGGACGTGACATTGTCAACTGCTGCAAGCCCGAGAAAAACTACACGGCCCGGCCAACACACCCATCCCAAATAATGCATCTTACCAGTAAGCCGATTGTTGAACAGTAGAAGCTTTTCCAGGTTGGTGAGACTTCCCAGCTGCTCCGGGATGGGTCCTGCACCAGTAGCCAGAGATTGAAATTGTCATGATTCCAGGTATGCTAGGTACGCTGTAAGGGATACATGTAGAACCGCCTACGAAGAAATGAAACGGTGTGAGCGGGACAGGTGCTCCGGGAAACATTGGGAAAATCAACGCCCGTAGCTCAGCATCCTACCTTCCAGCCATCTGTTGTGCAGCGAAAGCATCTCAAGGTGGCGTAGAGCTCCCAACTCCTCGGGGATGTGTCCTGCACAAGCAGCACCGCGGAAAGCATCGAGTAAGACAACGAGAACATCCCGTCTCACCACCAAACGCGTGGTGGTTTGCAGGTTGGCGTAAACCCGCGGATATACGACGCAACTCACCGCTCAGCCAGTTCGCGTTAAGAGCCATATGCTGCAAAGCGCCTAGATTGCCCAGCTGCGGTGGTAGAGACCCTGTGGTAAACGTTCGCACAACGTCGTGGGCGGATGACGAGGAGGGTAACAGGCCGCAATCCCTCGCGGTTTAGACTTTTCATACATATGTCCCGCCTAAAGTCCGTACCAAGAGTTCGCGAGACAACAAAAATTATAGAACCCTTCGGTTCAGTCTTGAAACTACGATTACGGGCATTGAAAGAGAGTTCTCGTCCACACAGTTCGCAGCCGATTACATCACACAGCGGCGTGGCGAAATACTCCATGATCAGCTCGACTAGGAGTGCAGCAGCATGGTAGAAAACACGACATGCTGTGTGTTGGAATAAATTACAATACGAGCAGCTGGTATTAAGGAATAGAGGCTAATCGATAACTACGTCTATGTTTGAAGCTTTCAGGGAGCTTCCAAAGTCATGTAACGGTCACTTTCTGTCGACAAATGCCCGGGAATGATCCAGACAACAGAAGCCAGAGAGAGAGAGAATCTATAAAAACCTCTGCAAACGTACAACGCTAGTTGTACCTTCGAGGTTGTTGTTATACAACGATAACTTCACCACCCGGCCTTCGGCGTTCACGTCGACCCCGTACCATTTCCCGAGCTCCTCACTTGAGCCCCAGTTGTCACTTTTCCTCCACTCAGCCCCGCGGGTCGCCTGAAATAGGGCAATCAGAGCGTTACGATCCGTCGATGCCATGCTAAATTTGGCCTGAGGGATTTCACAGAGGAGCGGAGAAAACAGTCAAGATACCGAGGTGGTGAGAACGAAATTGTTGTCAGACGAAACGGCCATGAACTATCGTGAATGTGCGATGAATTGGATTGTCCCAATTGATACCAGGGTTGTCGCACAGGGGTGCGAAAAAAAACAACCGAAAAACGATTATCTCGGTTTTCGCAGATGGGTTGGAGATATCTTGCCGCAGAGGGGCGCGACAACATGAAAAAAAAAAAAAAAAACGGGCAAGAGGTTGCGTGCTATCACGAGTGGGTCCCGGAGGACATCTGGAGCGGCAACGGCTTGTGTGTCTCGTGGTATGCGATGGGGGCTCCACCATTTGGGGTATTGCACATGTAGTCAAGTATACGGAAAAAATGGAGGCACTTGATTGATTGAATCCGTGCGCACGAAAGAGGCACAAACACGCGTTGCCTGAAGGTTGCCTGAAACGTTCACAGGAGGGTGGAAAGCAAACAATTATTCTAACGTTCGTACGGGCAGTCGTGTCCGTCTTTGGTGTTTGCACCCTGTCATTACTACCTACGCCACGGTCGCATTCAGGGAATGAATCTGCTCCCTAGTGGTGACTGCCGATGATTGACAGCTGCCCGTCCGAAACCAAGCCTCTACAGCTCTGCCTGTCCTTTGCCAACATCTTGGTCAACGCAGCGATGATAGCTCTAGCCTGAGATATTTAGACAATTTGGTGCCGGGTTTGGAGGGTCCTTTCTACGGAACCCTCAACAAGCTAGCAAAAGCCCCATCGGAGTAAGACATGTTTGCAGCATCTCGTACCGACATGCGTCTGTCAAGCTTGAGGACGGTTGGACTCTATTGACAATTAGCGCACTGGGAATAGGGTTGTCGCACACGGGTGCCACGACCTCGGGCAATGCCAACATCCGGGCGTGCGATCGAGTGCCATTATAGGTACCGCTAGATAGCGACATATTGCGGAGGTTTCCATCGTGCTCCACTGCTGTGGTTGTGGCATCGCGTGGCGATACATTCATGGAACCGGTCAAAGGATCTCCTCTCAACCACGAACCAACGCGTAACTCCACACCTGCATGCCGCAGCCATTATGACCCAACCTAGCGCCTTTTTTTTTACTTCAAATCAGCGCTCTCGCAGCACTACTATACTGCCGTCTACTCTAACCCTTGGTCACACGGAAGGACCCCTCTCTACTCTCCCCTCCTGCGGTACGTTGCCTTCGATTCTTAATGCGAGAAGAGTTCAGCATTCACTTCCCTCTGTGTACGCGCGAACTAGCGCTATCCACTAGGCCAGGAGCGGAAGCAAGAGAAAAATTCACTTTGCAAGAAAAGCTCGCCTTCGCCGGGGTTCGAACCCCGGACCTGACCTCTAGAAGGTTCCGAGGATACCGACTACACCACCTGGCCGACCGACCACGGGCAGAAAATAAGCAAAAGAGAGGGAAGAAAAGGCAGCGACGAAGGAAAAGGGCTGGCAGAAAAACTGATACCATGTCCAGCAGGCAACTACGTCGATTCACCCTTCGTTCATGGCACCTAATGTAAACAATCTCTACAAATAACCTTTTCTACCCTGGCCATGCCTCGCTGCACATTCGTGTTGTGCTGTAGCGCCAATAACAACTGTCGCTAGACGCTTTGTTTCAAGGTCTGAAGACAAACGGATTTCGATGTTCAGTAATTTTCAAGGGTTTACTCGGTAACGGTTTTTCGGCGAACAGGTGTTCGGCGGTAATGCCATTTGGCGGCAATCGTCTTGGCGGTTGGCGGTAACGCGTTTTTCGGCGGTAACGACCTCGGCGGAGGCGGTAACACCAATTGTTGGCGGTAATTTTTCGGCGTTATTGCCACACGGCGGTAATACGATTTTCGGCGGGAAAGACTAAGTCGGAGGCGGAAAACAGGAGATTGGCGGTAATATTTCGGCGGTAACCCCTACAGCGGGAAATTTTTTGGCGGTAGGCGGTAACGCTTTTTTTGGCTGTAGCGAATTTGGCGGAGCCGGTAAAACAAAAAAATGGCGGTAAAACGGCGGATAACCGGGACCGCCCACCACGGCGGTAATGATTGTCATTGTCGTATGGTCACAAATTCAAGCGACACCAAACAAGGCGGCAATTGCGGTCCTAAGTTACCGCGCCCGAACAGATGGCAAACCACTTTTCCGAACATTGACCATGTACTTCCGCCATTTTGATTTGTCATTTTCACCAGCGACTTTGACGTTTTTAGAGTCAACTCGACGTAAAAACATGTGCGCGCCTCCTCCACTCAATATGTTCAATTGTTCTCCCGAAAACGAGCCAGAACCAAACTCCAGAACCAAAGCAAACAGATACTTCATGCAACAAAAATGGCCGGAAAAAAAAAAAAGTACGTCCGAACGTGGGCCCGAGGTCCTGAACTCACACTGTGGTTGTACAGCAGTCGAGACTAGACCTCCACTCACTCAGCCAATCGTTCGGCGGCAACGTTCCTACATTACGGTAATTTTTCGGCGGTGATGCCGCATGACGGTAATTTTTCGACTGTATTGACGTATAGCGGTAATGGGTTGGGCGTATGTAGGCTGTACTGCGTTTTTGGCGATAAAAACTGTGGCGGGGGCGGCAAAACAGAATTTGGCGGTAATTGTTTTGGCGGTAGCAGGAAACGCGTTTTTCGGCGGTAGCGCTTAAGGCGGAGGCGGTAAAACCAAAATGGCGGTAAAACGGCGGATTACCGGGACTGCCCACCACGGCGGTTATTTCACAGAGGACAATTTACCGAGGAAACCCTTGGAAAGTAATTATGAACACAACCGCAAGAACACCAGAAAATGCACAAAGAGACGCAAAAGACCAGTCGGGAGGCATCGCGAAAAACAGAAGTCGTTTTTTCTCGCGAAGGGCGGCAGCAGAGGCCGCTCAAAACATACATTTCACGCGTCTACCTCCGCACCCCTTCTTTGAAATCAAGAAAAAAACTCACGCCATTCTAATTTCAAGTTAAAATAGCCAAAACGGAAGGCGCAAACAAGGTCAATTTTGAGCTTTGGGCTTCTATTTTCATCAGCAGAGGACATCACGAAGAGGCGTCGTGCGTGCTGGCACGTTCAGGTTTGCAACTAAGCTGAAATATCGAAGGTCGAAGCAGCCTCTGAAAACAGTCCAAAATCTGCGCCGGCACCAAGCGGCATCCAAAACTTGTCACAGCCGTGCTCGCCGCCACTGGCCCCAATGTCCTGAACTGCGGGTTCACAGCAGTAGCATGCGGTCCACGCTGGTGGGAGGGCGACGAAGATTCCACCTTCTACACGGAGTACGCAGACGTCCACATCCTCATGCCGCCCCCTCACGGGGTCCCAGTTTATGTCATTACAAGTGTTTTGTGTTGCAGTTTCAGAGACTGACGTCTTTTCTTCTGTCAGTCGGTTAGCGCGGTCGATGCTCATCATGAAATAGTAAAAAGGGAAATGGACAAAAGAGGGAATACCCACGCCATTCTCGGACATAGTGGGTCCCCAAAAATCCAGCGCGCGCGCCCTCCGTAGGCGACCCCCAAACGACTCAAAACCCCATATTGACACCTGGGCGACACAGCAAGGGACCATACACAGCATGGGCATCGATTTTTCCCACTTCCAGGCACACATTTGGCCCTAATACCGCCGAGGCGCGCAAGGCCTCACCAGAGTGCCCACTTCTGTCCGACATCGTGGTGGGTATACCCATCGGCGTCTACTAATTTTTTCGTGTATCCACTTGTGTCTGTATTTTGACCCACTTTTGTCTAAATTGTACCCACTCTTGTCCACGTACGGACGGCGGAAATCGAGCGGAAATCGACCTCCACGTCACCGCACGGCATAAAATTTAGGCTTGTGCTCCGTAGGCGCTCTCCTAAAACGCCTAATTTTGAGAGCTTGCACCTAAAAACACAGTTTATTTCAATCGCCTAAAAGCTCGCCATAAAAGCCGGCCGCTGCGCTTAATCTCGGGGCGCCTTCGCCTGTTCTCGGGACGCCTGCGCCTAACCTGGGGTGTTTGCGCCTATTCTTGGCCTCTTTTTGGGCACACCCCTACAAAGTATCCACGGAGCCCCACACAGTGCCTCCGCCCAGCCGCCACGCCACGCACAGCACACTTTACTACCTGGCTAAACAACCTCGAGGAGGACGCCTGCCGGCGAAGGCCCGACATCATATCCACCCACCACTAAGCCACTATACAGTAATACATGGTGTGGTTCTCTCACGTGTGCGTGCGTGATCACTTGGCCAAAGAAAAGTAAACCACACCCTGTACAAATATCAAATGTAAATACAACTGTTATTTGAGTGTAATCGACTATTACGGGTATTTGCCTGTAAACAAACAGTTGCACAGGGTTTTCAAGAGGTAGTTGCTCGGAACCAAATAGTTGCGCAGCTTTTTTGAAAAGTAGTTGACTGCAATCAAATATTTCAGCTCAACATTTCTGAAAGTAGTTGACTGCAATCAAATAATGCTCAGCGTTTCGAAACAGTAGTTGACTGCAATCAAATATTTGCTCAACATATCTGGAAAGTAGTTGATTGCTATCAAATAGTCACTCTTCTTTTCAAAACAGTAGTTGATTGGAACCAAACAGTCGCTAGCGGGCAAATAAATTGTGAGAGCGGAGATACTTGAGTACCGTTGGATCTGACCTCTTCAGCCTGGAACAGCAAGCTGTTGTCAGAGTTGGTCAGTTGAAACCAGTTACCTCCAAGATCCAGCCCACGGGCCCACGGCACGGGCCACACACACGGACACACACGGGCTGAATGTCAGCATGTCAGCTACAAATGTCCAAGCAAATGCCCAAGCAAATGCACAAGCAAATGCTGCTGGTCCGCAACCCGATAACCCTGCCGGAGGAGGAGCTGGGTAGTCGGCAGCAGCAGCGCCAGTGACTGTGGACGTTGAGGAGCTT